AGATTATTTTTATTACAAGTGCATAAAGCAAGAGTTTAATGGAAATAATTAATTAATTTAACAGGATTATACAATAACCAACAAAATGCACAATTTAAGAAAGAAAATACCGCGAGAATGACATAAAGCATAATGACATAAAACATAAATGCATAGCCGACTACATAAAAAAATAATATTGGGGAGTTGCTTCCAATAGTGTTTGGTAATCATTCCCAAACTTTTGGTATTGACTTGATTTATTAATATATTGTAAAAATTTTTAATATAACTTAAAATTAATATTGCAATGTACCTATTCTAAATTAAAAAAGTTATAAATTGTCAACTTATATGACACGTGACTGTAAAATAAAATATTAATACTTAATATTTATGATTAATATCTTAACAATCAATACCCAACGGAATTTTTTTATTAATATTACAAAATATATTCTGTGTTTACAAAAAAAAGTATTCAGTGCTTAATTGTTAAGTAATTTCTCCCAAAGTCATAGCAATAAGTACTCAATTTAAATATTTACTTAAATCCGTGTGACTAAAATAATTCACAAATGTCTAAAAAAGTATTAAAACTGTATAAAATATCCCAAAAATTTATAAAACTGTCTATATTGTCCTAAACTTTCAAAACCGTCAAGAAGTTACAAAATTGTCTTTATAAAAATGTCTAAGCTGTCTTAAGTATCCCAAATTGTCTTAGAACATAAAATGGACTTAAAACTGTATAAAGTAATCCAATACTAAAAAACGTCTATAAACAAAAATGTCAAACATCAAAAATAGCCCAAGCTGTCTAAAATAACACCCAGTATATTTTGATACATTTAATTGGAGTTTTTTGTTGAAATACACCGGGTCTTCAAGTCAATGTCAATGTTAATTTTTTGATTGTTTTTATCTCTTCGAATACAAATCAATTATTTTTGAAATATTGTGTTTTATGGAAATAATAATACTTTTTTAATAAGTTCAATTTCATAATTTGTTTCTTTTAATTTTTCATGATATTTTCATGTTTATTCTAAAATACCGTAATTATAGGCGTTTCTTTAATTTTTTAAAAAATAAACTTAAGACTTGGGTTATTTTTGTTTTTTTTGTTTCCCATGATTTTTTTGGTATTTGCTATGATTTTTAAACATTTATATAGCAGTTTTTAAGATTAACCATTTTTATAAAATCCTCTATAATTGTATTCCAAATAAAAAATGGAAATACGACGATATTTAAGAGCAAACTAAATAAAAAGCCTGAAATAATTTAACTAAGGTTTTTTATTAATTATAAAGACGAACTTATTTGGGTGGTTCAAACCCTTAAAATAACAAAACATGGTCAAAAACTAAGAGCAACAATCTAGGATCTTGTGGTGCAGATTCCAGTGTCGGCTCCAATTTGTTGAAGACAGAAAGTGGTGCAACAGTTGCCCATGGAACCGTCCATTTTGCAGGTGGCCCCATCGGAAAGGCACTGGGCCCGGACGGCGTCGAAGGCCATGGCGAGGGCCAGAAAAGTCACGAAGAGTAAGGCGAAGTATTTCATTTTTGTGGTTTTGTTGGCTGGAAGTTAATTGAAAATGTTGTTTTGCAATGTTAAATGTGAGTTAACTTACCTGTTGATTTGTCAGAAGGGAACTGATAGTGGTCTTAAGTTGATGCCGGTTTATATAGCGAAGCAGTGTGACAATAATGATCTAATTTTAACGTTATCGGTGTTGGTGTAAATAAAAAATATATAATTTTGTAACTGCAAGCAATTCTGAGGTCTGGGTAAATCCCAAGTTCGTAGCAATTAAAACAAAACTTTATTGTACTATGAAGTCAATGTTTTTTGTAATTTCTTGAGACAATTAATTGAACATAAAAATCACTAAAAAAATATAGGAGTATAATACAAAAATGAATAATTAAATATTAAATTCCCGATATTTTAGTAAGAAATTATGTTTATGTCAGTCAACGTAATTATATCATTACAAATACCACGAAACGATTTCATTGTAAAATACTAGCAAACATCTGTTTACGCGCTTTAATATTTACTATAAAAACCCGTATAAATCTCAACACCAGCATCAGTTACATCCTGACACATTCGCCGGTAAGTCAACTCAAATTTCCACATTCCAAAACAACATTTTCAATTAACTTCCAGCCAACAAAACCGCAAAAATGAAATACTTCGCCTTATTCTTCGTGGCTTTTCTGGCCCTCGCCATGGCCTTCGACGCCGTCCAAGCCCAGTGCCTTTCCGATGGGGCCACCTGCAAAATGGACGGTTCCATGGGCAATTGTTGCACCACTTTCTGTCTCCAACAAATTGGAGCCGACACTGGATTCTGCACCACAAGATCCTAGATTTTTGCTCTTTAGAGGATTTTAACACCATGTAAATAGGTTTATTTTTTGTTGAAATGTTTTTGTAGTTAATAAAATATATAGGTTGAATTACCTATTTATGCTTTTTATTTAATATTTTGCATTCCGTAAATTTTGCTTATTTTCGTTTGCTTGAATAGAACTCAGCCACATATTAAAGTATCTTGGTTCAAAGTTTGATTTTCTATGAAATTTATGTTTTTTTGCTGTTGGGTAACTTGTAAACTTGTCAAAAGTATTTACATTTTTAAAGAAAGTTTTCTGCAAAAAAAATCTAAAATTAATATTTTAAGAGATATGTTTTTGAAGTCATCAAAATTTTAAATTTGGACAAAAATTATTTAATTTTGAATAACCAAAATTATCAATCTGTTATTCTCGTCTGGAAGATCCGGCAACACTGCATTATCTAGGAATATTTGGTTTGATTTATTTAAAAAAAAATACTATTGTACCTATTAAGTTATTTTTTATACGTTATTTATTTTTAAAATAATTATACTTCTATGTTTTCTTTTGATTTATTTTTATTTCCAACCCGTTTTTTAAATTCTTTTTCGTGTTTTCACTACTCATTTTTAGATTTTAAATAACACTACATAGAGAACTGTCACTGCCACTGTCAAAAACGTTACCATAGAAACCAACTATCAACAACTCGCAATGTTGTCGCGTTTAAATAAATATTTTTTACGTTTTTTTTTAATTCACGTCCTGTTTTACGATATACAGTGTGTCCCAGGATGGGGTTGCCAATTGGAAAAACCTTTTCATTATGCGTTTTACGGAAATAAGTCATTCTTCATAAAAACTCCTGCTCAATAAAAAAATGACATTCAAATAAAAATGTACAGGGTGCTCAGAAAAAGAAAAAACAGGAAAATTATTCCTTTATTTTATTGAAAAATTTTATGAGAGAAAGTCAATGACAATTAAAATTAAAGTCTAAATACGAAATATATTTTTTAATTTAAAATTTATTTTTTATTGTAAAAAAATTATTTAATTTTATAAAAAAATTTATAAGTCGATGACAATTGAAATTAAATTAAATTAAATCAAATTAGTCTAAATACAAAATAAAAAAATTTATTATGAAAAAAAAATATTCACATATTATATCACGAGAACTATGAATTTAGTTAGTTTAGTTTTTGTTTGGTTTTTGTTGGAAAATGTTGAATGCAAAATAATTTAATAAAATCACGAGACCGCGTAGCGGTCGAGGGGTTTTATTTTTAATTATTTTGCATGAAACTATTTTCCAAAAAGAAAAATCAAATAAAAAACTTACTGAGCATAGTTTGACAGATTAAATTTATAGATTATTTCTCGAATTAAAGGAAACTATTTGACAATTCATAAAATCTGACGTATTTGTCAAAATTTATAAATATTTTTTTGAAGAAAATTTCATTAATTTAAGCTATGTAATAAGTAATAATTGATATTTCGTAAACTAGAGAACTTATTTTTTATTGTTTTTTATAAAATGTTTGTTAAAACTTGTAAATAACACCATAAAATCGTAAACAAAAATCCAACATGGAGGCTAAAATTTAATCGCTGTTAAATAGTTCTAGTGATTTAATCGCTTATTTAAACGAAATTTATTCGAAAATTCAAGGCTTTTGATTGGTTCATATTATAATGAGGGAAATAATCAAAATAAAATAAATTTTCCTTAAAATAATAAATAAAAGTTTTCCAATATTTTATATGAATGTCATTTTTAAAATAAATAGAGTTTTATGAGGAATAACTTTTTTGTAAAACGCATAATAAATAAGTGTTTCCTATTGGCCACTCCATCCGTGGACACACTGTATATGTTTAAAGTGGCTTTTGTGTTAAAATAAAAAATAAATATAAAATCAGTTAGAAAATTGGATCTTTTTTTTTAAATCAAATGTAACAAAACGAGAAAATAAATTTTGTTTTTGCAAGTTGGTACTCATCGCTATTTATGCATTAAGTATAAAAGCAACCCTTACCCCTTGTACTGCTTGAACTTATTTAAATCTTTATTAAATGAAGGGTTTCTAGCAAAAACATTTGTCAAAAAAAAACAAATTTAGAGGAGATTGTGAAAATTCAGAAACCCTTGACTTTTTTTTAATTTATGCACAAAATATAGAAATTTGTTCTTAAAACGCGGTTAAAAATATAATGTTATTTAAACTGTTATAAAAAATGTCCTAAAATTGACAAAAATTAACTTTAAATTGACTGTTTTTGTTTTTGAACAATATTTTCTAGAAAGGCGGAAACACTGTTTTATAACTACAAATGTAAATAAACAAATCGTTTAAATAATATAAAATTAATACAAATACATTTAAAACAACAAACATAAACTGGAAAAACAATTTATATTATATTAAACCTTATCTAAAGGATTCTCATATTTTTACTAATTCAAATACATAGGTATAACTTTTCTGGTATTGTTTATAACATTTTTAAATATTTGTGACATAAATATTTACCTAATGCGATTTCTTACAATTTTCCACTATTTGTATCAACAATATTTACGCATTTTTACGTAAATATTGCATATCTGTGCCTAAACATCATAAATGATTTTTATTGAAAAATAATTTCTTTAGATAAAATTCACTATAAAAACCTGAGCAAAATGCAGGATCAGCATCAGTTTCAGTTATCATCTGACACATCTACCGGTAAGCGAAGTTATATTTCTGTGTTTCAAATATTATTTTTTAACTAAATTTACAATCAAATGGGAATCCAGGGGCGTAACGAAGGTCAGATTAAAATTTCCACTGTAATCACTCGAAAATAAAAATTCATTAGTCGGTATTTGACATATTCAAATTTACTTTAGCAGCATCCAAATATTGAGTTTTTGATTAAAAATCAATCAAATCGATTGATTTAAATTAAAATTTCCACTGTAATCACTCAAAAATAAAAATTCATTAGTCGGTATTTGACATATTCAAATTTACTTTAGCAGCATCCAAATATTGAGTTTTTGATTAAAAATTAATCAAATCGATTGATTTAAATTAAAATTTTCACTGAAAACAATCTAAAATAAAAATTCATTAGTCGGCATTTGCAAAATTCATGAACGAATAAAGAAATTTTACAAAATCATCAAAAATGTCGATAACAATTCGAATTTCTTTTCTTTCTCTTCCCGACTGAAAAATTTCACTGACATATTCAAAATTACTTAGCAGCATCAAAATATTGAGTTTTTGATTAAATATCAATCAAATCAATCAAAATGGGTATCCAGGGGTGTAGCGAAGGTCCGATTATATTGGGGTGATTTAAATTAAAATGTCCACTGCAATCACTCAAAAATGAAAATTCATTAGTCGGCATTTCCAAAGTACATGAACGAATAACGAAATTTTACAAAATCAAGAAAAATGTCGATAACAATTTGAATTTCTTTTCATTCTCTTCCCGACTGAAAAATTTCACTGACATATTCAAATTTACTTTAGCAGCATCAAAATATTGAATTTTTGATTAAAAATCAATCAAAATGGGTATCCAGGGGCGTAGCGAAGGTCGAAATATATGGGGGGGGATTTAAATAAAAAAATTCCACTGGAATCACTCAAAAATGAAAATTCATTAGTCGGCATTTGCAAAATTCATGAACGAATAACGACATTTTACAAAATAATCAAAAATATCGATAACAATTCAAATTTCTTTTCCTTTTCTTTCCGACTGGAAAATTTCACTGACATATTCAAATTTACTTTAGCAGAATCAAAATATTAAGTTTTTGATTAAAAATCAATCAAATCAATCAAAATGGCTATCCAGGGGCGTAGCGAAGGTCCGATTATAGGGGGGTGATTTAAATTAAAATTTCCACTGGAATCATTCGAAAATAAAAATTCATTAGTCGGCATTTGCAAAGTTTATGAACGAATAACGAAATTTTACAAAATCATCAAAAATGTCGATAACAATTTGAATTTCTTTTCATTCTCTTCCCGACCGAAAAATTTCACTGACATTTTCAAATTTACTTTAGCAGCATCAAAATATTGAGTTTTTGATTAAAAATGAAAATTTATTAGCCGGCATTTGCAAATTTCATGAACATTCAAATTAACTTTAGCAGGATCAAAATATTGAGTTTTTTTAGAAAACTGAACACTGTCTATTTGTTGTTTAAAATTAATACAATCATTGGCTGTTGTTAGTCGGCAGATAATAAAAATGAAAATGCCGACTAATGAATTCACAGAAAATATAAAATGTATCTTCAAAATACCACATGGTGATGTTTTTTTGAAATTTCAGCAAAAATAATAAAAATGAAATATTTCGTCCTATTATTCGTGGCGTTCTTGGCCCTTGCCATGGCCTTTAATTCAGTCCAAGCTTGCCTTTCTGACGGTTCCACCTGTAAAGCAGATGGTTCAATGGGCAATTGCTGTTCTCAATTTTGCTTACAACAACCAAACACCCAAACTGGATACTGCGCCTAGATCATCTAGGCTAGATGTACTACTAGATGGATGTCTACCCTTATTTTAACCATGCTTTAGATTTTTAATTGGCCAAAATATGTTTTATTATATATAAATTATATTTAATATAGGTAATCACTTGCAAAACTACTTTTTATTAGTAAAATAATTATTATATACCTACCTTTATTCCTTTCATAACAAAATATTCTTCTACGAAAAGAAGAAAGAAATTAAATTCAAATTCCCATAACTGGTCACAAAATTTAATATTTAAGTTAATAAAAGGGTCGTTTTCAAAAAACACCCGCCTTCCGCTGTCCGTAAGTTTGAATTCCAATAACTTTGTTAAAAATTATCGGATCTCAGAAAATTTTTGTTTAGTTATTTTAGAATAATTTTTTTTTAATTTTGAAACTTGTGAAACACACATTTTCGCATGTCCCATTAGCGTTTTATAAAACTTACATACATGTTTTTTTTTAATATTGAATAACCAGAACTTTGTGTTGCTTTATAGCAATCCATAACATCCTTAGTTAATACAGTAAACAATTTATATATAAAATAATTAATTTTAATCTACTTTTTTTAAATTTGACTCATGTCCCAGACATTTTTTCCGTTGCGTTACGTTCGTCGCGTTACCGATAGAATATTAAAAAAACATATATATGGCAACTTTTTTGGTGCTCACGTGATCAACAAATGATGTTCGGACGTACACATTACCCAGCTGAATTTATTTATTTAATCAGGAAGAAGATATCGGTTTAAACAGGTGCGGGTAACGCGAATGTAATAATTGTTTGTCCGCTAAGTTAATCAAAAAAATAATAAAAATAAGGTAAGAAAAAATACTATTTTTCATGTTTATGTTTATTTTAGGGCACTAAAGCTCATTGAGAGTAATTAATGACTATAATGTCTTATTATTATTTTTTAAATATGGTTTTACAAAACTTTGTCCACTGCGTTACCGAGTCCACTATGTTACCTTATGGTAACGCAATGGAATTTAGGGTAACGCAATAGAATTTTTCGACAACAAAGTGGATATTTACCGTCGCTTTTATTAATAGTAGTTTATGATTAACCAATTTAAAATTATTTGTAATTACAACTCATGATATAGATTACATCCAAGGAAAAATTCCACGCAATATAAAAGTACTAAAAGGGATCTTCACCAGCTTATAGTCAAAGAAAAAGGGTGTCTACAATTTAGAAATCTAAGTTGTTATTCTGCAAGTGAGCACCACTACAAGGGATTTTGTTTATGCATTACTCTAAAATCGTACCACCCTATATAGTTTATTTTTTACGTTATCTGATAAAGTCCTTTGTGTACCCCTGTCCGTTGTGATACCAATGTCTATTTCGTTACTTTTTTTAGTTTTTGTGAAAAAAATACTTAAAATGATTTTTATACACTATCACTTGGTAATACGTGTTTATAAATTAGAGTTTAATTCACTAATACAGTGACTAAAAGAAAATATTAATGGTATTGTTTTTTTAACAAAGAATCGGAATGGTTTCTTTTAAAAAGTAACTTAACGAACATACATATTTAAAAAAAAACATACGATTTTTAATAAAAAATAAAATAAAAAATTGGAGTCAAAAGTTTGTAAACTAAGTACATTTTATTTCAAATTAATTTTATAACAACTTTTTTTATTGAATTAAATTTTGGATTTCAAATTGGTAACACAGTGGATATATACATATAAAGCTAGCTAAACACATTTTTCTGAAAAAAACGTAAATAAAATTAAAAAGTGCACTGTAAGTAAACAAAACTCTAAACATTTATAAAAATCCAACCAAAAATCAATTTAAGCAAAAAAATTTATTTGATCTTCATTTTCCTGAAAATGACCCAAAAATACTAAAACAGTGTGTAATTTAAAAATTTATTAAATTGAGGCACTACTACTGTAGTAACAATACATTGATGTAATAAATATACCAAACGTATATGAGTTCTTGGCAATAATATTAAGTAGCGTTTTTATCCAAATCGTAAATTTTCATGGTGAAATGTTCGAGCCATTCGTTTTGTCCAAAAGCAAAGAGTTATGGCCGGGCCATAATTTACATAAGTTTCAGTTTCCACCCCTTTTTGTTTTTCTCCTAAATAACTTATGCGCGAGGACAAGAAGAATGGCGGAGACATTCGGAAAAGTATAACTTCCCGTCGATTGAAAAAACAACGGCAGTGAGCACAAAAGTGTGTTAAATTTAGGCTTTAGGATTTCATAAAAGCACGCTAATGAGGTTTTGAATTATGCAAAAACATCCTTTCCTCTATTTCAAAACGTATCATCCAATAGAAATAGTAATTAGCTGTCTCATAGGCGTGACGTTTTATTTTTAAAAGCAAAATACGTGTTTACCCAAGTTTGAAAAGGGGTAACCACTTCACTTTTGCTGCACGAATAATGGAAAATTAATTTTTCTTTCACTACGCAACTGATGAGGTTTTGCATACGAAATGACGTTACAAAATAGCCGTAACATCGTTACAGCGTGTCCAGAATCTTTAGAACGTCGACCAAAGGAAAATCACTAATAAAATAGTCAATTAAAGCAGGAAAATCGCTATTTAAGTCTTGAAACGCGCAAAAACCCTTTTCCGTAACAATTAAGGCTTATTAATAATTTCCCACCCTTTTTACTGTGTTTAGTACAAGAAAAAGAATTTTTAAAACCAGGCAGAAAATTTAGGGATACAGTTGAATTTTAACGCCTCACAAAAATATACTTTTTTTTTACTTACCTCATAACCCTGAGTAGGAAAATTAATCTTCTGATGGTTGGGACTGCCAAAAACAAAATGCCACTGCACAAAGGCGTACTGCAAGTAGGGGCCCAATGAGTAATTTTGCAGTTGGTAGATCTGTTTTGAAACTAAATCAGTAAATCCAAACCAATCCAGAGCTGCGCATACATTTTCCATGTTGTTATCCTTGAACTTCATCGATGGAAAATTTTCAAAAACACCTGAAAACGCCCCATTTTAACAAAAGTAGGTCAAATGCACCGCGGTACAAATGAACTACTCCTGTTATAAAATCACCACATCGTCATTTAGTAGTTTAGAACACCCGAAAACGCAACATTTAACAAAAGTAGGTCAAATGTACCGCGGTACAGATGAACTACTTTTGTTAAAAACTGATAAAATCGCACCGCCGTCATTTTTGGCGCAAGTAGTTCAAATGACCCGTGGTACAAATGAACTACTCGAGCTTAAACGACGTATTATCTTGTGCTTACCTTGCCCCACTCGTTCGTAGTCACCGAAAGACGACACGGTCTGCAGAACCTTGTTCATTCTGTCACGCAACGTCACGTTTCTTAGCGCAATATCTTGCCCCGGTAACATTTTGGGTCTTTCAATGCGAAAAATATCCTCCCACACGCTAAACAAGCCTTTCTGCATGTCCTTCTGACCGACGCTCGATTTATAAACGTCCGTCAAAGTGACAGGTTTGTTTAGGGCCTTGAAAAAGTGCAGGATCGATAGGCACGAGCGAATGTCGTTTTTCGATTTCTCCGCCAACGCCAGCATGGCGCCCTGATACGTTTTCACCTGCTGTCGTTTCGCGATTTCCATTAGACGTTCCGCCAATCTGAAAATTAACGAAGGAAATGAATTTTCCGACCCCGAAAACCCCTTAAACGATATGCCGCATGGTTTTTGGAAATTTGTAAGGGTCGCAGATATGGACCTTGTGGAACACCCATAAACAAGGCTATATCCGTTAATGTAGATAATTTGGCGAAATAAATTTCGGAAATGATTGATGTAACAAACGAATAATGCACCATGAGGCATTTTAAAGGCATACATGCACTCACCTGGAACTAGAAACCCTTGGAAAGTTGACAACAAAGGCCACTTGTTTCAGCGGCCTTAAAGCAGGAGTAAAGGCATCGTTACATATACAAATTACGGGTCTTTTGCAGATATTCGGTTTTTTAGCTTTTTCGCCTTTTTTCGCCTTAACTGGAGCTGTACCATTCACGTATTTTATCAAATATTCTATGGACGCACTCGGTGCGCCATCTATCTCATCCAGGATTATACAATTCGGTCTATTTTCTTTGTCTATTACAGAGCGCATCTGAGTTGCGTTTTCCAGAGCCGTTTTAAAGGCATCTACTGTTCTATCATCCGAAGCATTCAATTCGTAGACGTTATATCCAGCATGTTTAGCCACCATGTGAGCCAATGTGGTTTTACCTAACCCTGGGGGGCCACATAGAAGGGCTATTTTATGATGAGGTCGACCATGTTCATCCAGTGTCGAAATAAGTTGTTCTCTTTGAAAGAATTTCTTTTTCTTCGGGTCTTCCTCCACTTTTACCGGTTTTATTTTCGGTTTCCTATTAAAAACCACCTTATCCCATAGTTTAATCCATTTCAACATAATTCTATTCGTACTTTCATCACTTAAAAGCTCCAAGTACTTTCTGGGCTTGTACATATCAACCCATAGCTGTTCTGCGTTATTTTCTGGTACATCTATGGTTACTTCTTCTAAATTATCTTCATTACTAAGCTAAATAACATTTTCAATTATTAATTCAAAAAATCAATTTACACTTACAATTTTTAGAGCCCCCTCCCATATTTTCTTCGAGTTCTCCCCCAAAATACTAACACCATTGCTCTCCTTTATAATTCTATCACTTTCCTCCTTCTCAAAGGCTTCCGAATGGCATCTGATATACACCCGTTCACTGTCGTGCCTTGTTATAGCGATGAAAGGATATTTGGGGACATTATAAGAAATATTATATTTATCCCTATCATTATTGTATGTGGTATAATTCCTGGTAGCGAGTGCATTGCTTTTTTCCTTGGATAATTTACGTAATTCCAATATATGCTCTATTAAAGACAGTTCTTCCAATAGTTTATCACCTTTGTGTTTTTTATTGATTTTATCCTCGTTTAATAAATCATCAATATCCCCAAACAGGTCCTGTATGGATCTTTTACCGTTATCGTTAGTTTGAGACTGAATAACCCCATTAGAAGCCTCAGAAATATATTCAAAATCGTCATCGAAACCCACATCATCATTAACCCTATTTTTGCTTGTTTGAGGATTATTATCATCTTTCTCCACAACTTTAGATGTTGAAGGCGTATTAAAATCCAAACTCTTTCTGGATTTACTAACGGGATCATTAAAATCTAAAAAATAGAAGAAAAAAATCAAAAACATAACCCCACTTTCAGTAGATTCAAAATTTACTTTCTTGTTCGTTCAATAACTCCAACTCATCGCCGTACATCAACTCAAACTCCTCATCCTCGTCCGGATATTCACTCATTTTATTGTTTATTACACTTAAATTAAGAAGGGTAAATATTTTGGCGTTTTTTGTATGATTCCCGCCAAAATTACTGTCACATGAAGGCGACATCTGTACTTCAATATTGTAAATTTTGATAAAACGATGCAGAAATGTACATTATTGTTGTGGTGGTCTATTTTGCAATAGATGGCGCTTAATGAAAGAAAATTAATTTATTGATTTTATATTAGTTATAAGGGTTTTAAGGCATAAATATTTAATAAACAATTATGTATACCGATTTATTAATTATTGCGTTATATATTTAAAACATTATTCATATTTTAACGTTTTTGTGTAGCGACATCTAGTTACGATATAGGTACCTATCGTAAATAATTGAAATATTTTGTGGTTTTATCAAGGAATTTTGCCTTATTATAAAAGATGTACCTATATCACAATTAAACATAGGAAGTTAAATCAAGGTAAAATGCTTGTTTATTGTTAAAATTCTAACATTTTTTACATAAAACATTGGATTTTGTGTAAAATCAGTGAAATGAATATAAATAATAAATTATAGGCAATCATTTTTATGCAAATTGAGATAATTTTTATGCTCTAAAAATAATTACTTACAGGTAATTAAATTTCAAAATTTTTACCACAAAATAAACAAATGAAATTATCATTAAATTTTGATTGAAATACAACTTTAATCATAATTTTTTTAATTAAAAAAAATTAATGACTGTTTTTCAATTACAATAAATATTGACATGGGGTAAAAAAACAAATGAAATAAAGATGTTAACTGTTAAAACTTACGGTACCATTTCGCGATAGGGCGGACTCGTATGCAGACGAAATTGCGAATAAAATAAAAAAAAATGTTTTTCACTATTAAAACATTTTTAAACATTCAAAATTGACAGTATTATACAGTGCGGTAAAATAAACGGTAGAGTACTATGAAAAGAATATGGTAATTTTTTAAGTGACGGGATTTAACTTTAATGTGTTGTCGGGCATTCTAAGCATTGAGATCCGGTTTCTCGGTTACAAATTAAAGTATCTTCAAAGTTGAAGCAAGGCTTTAAACACAACACAGTCCGGTATACCTACAAGCATAGAAATAATATTAAATACCAAAGTGCATATAAATGTAAAAACAGTGAATAAAAACAAATAAATTATTATTTTATACTTAAAAGGTGACATTGTGGTAAAAGTTATAAACAGTTGTAATTAATGTTTATTTCGCATTTTATGGCTATATGGTAAGTACGTTTTTATCTCTAAATTTTACAGTGATTAATATTTTTTCAATCTGCAAAAAGCATTAAATAATTTAATTTAAATTCACGCAAAATTGTATTTTACGAAAAATTTCTTAACTTGGTAGTTTTAGATTATTTCACATTTTCTATTTTTTTAATTTCACCTTTGTTTTACTTTCATTATTTTGAATCACACTGTATATTAATGATGCAAATTTTAAAGTTATTATGGTTAAGTATTTGTAAACATTATTTGAAGATATGTACAGTTTTTATCAAAATAAATGTATCCATTAGTGGCTAATATTAATATAATCTACTTGATAAATATACCCATATTATTAAAACACGTGGTGTGCATACAAATATTTAGTTTGTACTTTAACGTAAATTGTATTTGTGTACGTATTTTATATCATGCAGAGAACAAGGAAATATTGGGTTAAGTGGTTACATCCTTAAGATCCATATATACTGGGTAAGTCATTTTACTTAAAACTTTGAAATATCTCAGTTGGTATGCATTCTGCAATAATTTTCTATAAAAATATTACTTTTTGGTAATAATTATCTTATTAAATTAAATCGGATTTTTTTAAGTTCCCACGATTTTTTAACTAATATTTAAGTTTCCTTTGGTTTAAGTTTTATACATTATTTCATTCGGTGATAATTATCAATTGCGCACCATGGTCACTTTTTACCTGCCAGCATTAAATCCTTTAATTTAAAAGATTATTTTATTATTTTTAATAAAACTACCTCATGTAAAAAAACATTATTTTGTCAATTAATTAATTTAATCCTAATTGAGGTATAAAAAATGGTATTTAGTCATTATTATTGTATAAAGAAGTATAAAGAAAATATTTATAGTTTAGCATTATTTAATCAATTTAGTTCGAAGATTAATTTGCAAACAAAAATACCTCCTTTCGTTAAGCAGTTATTCATAATGGATTTTTTAACAGTGGAAGAAAAAATAGAAATGATTTTGATTTATGGAGAAGCAGGCAGGAATCTTAATGATGCTGTTAATATCTACGCTTAGCGTTTTCCGGATAAAATTCGATCACGTACTTCATTTCACCGTACAGTCAAGCAGTTTACTACAAACGGGAGTGTTCGACCGAAAAAAAGAGTTCGTTGAGCAACAGTCACAGGTGGAAATAATGAAATTAATGTATTATTAGTACTGATTGATTTCCTTCCTCGAATCATTTAATTTTTATTTTAAATTTTTTTTCGTAAAATGCATATGCACAAACAGATATTTCAATGTTTCAAGTAAAATGACTCACCCTGTGATGCTATTAATGTAGGTACTAGTTTTTTTAACATTTTCTTTTTTCCTAGATATAAAGAAAATGCTGATCAATCCACACCAACAAAATGTATCTTTGACCTAAGATAAGACATATCAAAAACCAACAAGTTCATTCCTACTTCAATGCTTCAACATAGCAGACTGTAAAAATGAATCCGAACTCGATTTTGTATATTTTTTTATCGTGGCTTTTAAGTATGTGTTATGGGTTCGTCCTACTGTCATCAGCAGCTGGCCAAATCTCGGATTTAAACCTATTTGAAGCTGGAAGCAGCTCAACATACAAACTACAGAGTGAAGTGTTGATAAACGAAAAAGACAATTCTTCGAAAAATGTTGGTTTCTATGTGGTTGCAGAAGTTACAGTTAACTCTATATGGGGTAAAGGGAAGGATAAAATACTACAAATTGAGGTAATTTTTTATTTCATATATTCAATTAATTTCTGCGATAAAACATTGTACAATCAAAATCAATCAAAAGGTTACTATTTTTAGAAATATTTTATGTTCGCAGCTTACCCAACCTTTGTTGCATATAAAATCGAGGAAGGCCCCCAGCCCAGATGGATTTGTACCCCACAAATCTAATCTTGACAAAATGCAGAACAAACCCTTTTTGGTCATCCTCAAAAACAACAAAGTAGATAGACTATTAATGCCAAAAAATGAACCCTTGTCCATGGTAAACCTCAAAAAAGGTTTAGCTAGCTTGCTACAGGTAACAAAACATACCAACAACCATAATCACCATATAAACCAACAAATTTTTAGTTCCAAATCTACGAAGGCGAAACCAAAGAAATTGATTCGTCTGGCGAATGTCTCGCTCAATACACTGCCAATTCAGACGATATGTTCACCAAAACTAAATCAAATTGTGTCTCCATAGATCTACCATACACCTACAACCCCGACGACATCCTCAAAACCATGGTACAATCAAGCAGAATCTCTGAATACCATCTGGACCTCCACAAAAATGTCATCAAGTCTATCAAAAGCAAGGAGAGCCATAAGATGTTTCTGTCAGTAAAGGAAGACATCGGGAACTTCGTGGAAGCCGATCAACATCTGATTTTGATCAGGGAGGGTCAAATCAGCACCATAGAGGGTCAAAACATAGAGGAAGCCCTTGAGAAACTCATATCATTACACTCCATAGTTTATACTCAAGAATCTTTAATGAGTGATAGAGAGACGGATGGTGAGGATGCAACATTTTCCGACTTGGTGAACGAACTCAGGGATAATTTGAAGAGCGAAGCCATAGGAACGTTAAAATCCGCTAGAAGCTTTATAAAACTGATCAATATAGGTAGAACATCCAACAAGAAAGATATACAAAAAGCCTTGGCATCAAAAAAGAATAAAGACCTATTGTAAGTATTGCAACCACAAAAAACCCTTTCAGCAACTTTTTTTTAGATTGCAACTGTACGATATTCTGGGCTTCATCCAAAGTCAGGATTCGCACGAGGCAGTAATGAAAAACCTTATCTTCGACGATGAAAAAATGTTGGACTTCAGCGAAAGATATCTGTGGGCTCTATCAATTTGTTCCAAACCAAATCCTGATATTATTATGGATCTTTTAAAGAGATTCCAGAAGAATAACAACATACCTGAAAAAATTAAGGAGACGATGATTTTAAGCATAGCATCAATGGCGTATAGGTTGAGTCAACTCCATGGAAATAAAGTTAAAGTTTTGAAAGATGTGGAGGAAGCCATAATAAATAATCTCGACTATGCCAAAGGCGAGGAAAAATACCAATTCTTCAGAGCCTTGAAGAATCTCAAGTCACCCAACACGATCCCAAAACTTCTTGATGTCATCGAAAAAGGCACTCCAAAGGAAGGTGTATTGAGCTGGAAAATCATAAAATCTCTACCGAAAGAGTATTGGGGTGAAAACGTGTTAAAAACAGCAAAGAAGACGTTCTTCCAGCTCAACAAAAGGCACGATTCTAGCTCCAGAACCATAGCAGCCGAACTGATGTTGGAAACAAACATTACAGAACAAAATCTTAAAGGTATGTTGCACTATTTAGGATCAAACGATACTGCTTTTGAAATTAAACAATACGTGTACCAAAACATTAGAATGAAGGCTGATGAGTGTCCTATATTTAAAAGAATGGTTTTAAACATCATAAAAAGTGATCGTTTTTTGAATAATTATTCCACGCTTGCACCAAGAGGAATGTCCACTGCTTTATCCAGGAATTTCCTGAGCAGCGACAGTAGTAATGGTAGCTTAGTATCTCTGCAAGAGTTGAAGAGTGGTATAGTCAAAAGAGGATCAGTGAATATAGTGATGGAGAAAAATGACGCTATCAAGGAGATATTTAGTGTAAGGGTACACTCGAGGTTATTTGAGTTTGTAATAAAATTATTTTTTAGCTTGGTTTGTTCTCCGGTGGACTATCAAGCTTCATGTCGAGTAATGGAAATGAAAACGAGCTTGAAGATGAGGAATCAGCGAATGCTGGGATGGAGTTGTCAGTGTTGGGAACCCAGCTGAGACCTTTCTTGTTTTTCAGTGGTCAAGGCGAGCTTATGGGACATGTGTGGTCTGGGACAGCTTCTGAGAAAACCCCGGCGTATCAAGTAAACAAAGAAAACATATTACGTGAACCCTTAAAAATGTATGTATGTTATAGGCCAATACTCTTCTACAAGATCATCTGGAGTACATCAGGTTAGGCAATGGTCTTATAGCGGAGTTAAATGTCAAAGGGGCTCTATCATTCGACCTATCAGGATCAGTGAAGATTTCTATTTTCTACAGTACAGCTGAATCACTGGTTGAAAAGGCGTAGGTACTATATATCTTGTCCGATTTAAATATATATACTTTTATTTGATTTAGGGCGGGCATAGCAGTCATAGGAACGACGAAAATAGATACAAGCTTCGTGAAATCACAGGTGGAATTTTCAGCTTCCATAGAACCAAAGTTGATCCTCAACTCGGACCTGGATTTTTCCGGGAAACCCACAGCGTGCATGAGGCTCACCCAACCTGACTCTCTTTTAACGTAAGCCAGTCAATCTCTACAAAAACGTTTTACTACTAATGTTTAAATTACAGGCATAACATATTCAAAATCGAAAGAATACCCGGCAGCAAACACAAACTAAGGATAGCCAAATACAAAAAAACGAATATACCGGGTGTTACGTACTCGCTGAACCGTAAAAACAACGAGATGTGTAGTGCAATGTTTAAATAGTGATGTGTACATAAAAAGACTTAAACAAATTATACAAATAAATTTTATATTACTATCTACAGCCGCATTCCTTCACAACCATGTCTTTGTAGGCCAGCCTGTAGGTCAGCACGCCATTATTGTCCACGTATAAAATTGAAATGGGGTCTAACAGCGTGGGTACACAGCATGATCTGGCGACTTTTGTAGGTGATAAACTGTGGAGTAGTGCTTGGAAAATGGCGTGTTTCGTTGGGTTTAGATGGTCGCTGAATGGGTAAAAACATCGCCCTTGGCATTGGTAGGCCTAAAACATCCACATACTATACAATCAGAGCATTACCATGACAGGTATCATTACCTCATACCCAGATGGTTGTATTATCCAAAGGTGATAGTCGAGGTCAGCGAAATTGATATACAATGGACGTCTTCTGCAGCTGTTTCGCCGTTTGGTTCTTTTGACCTTAACGTCTTCCCATACATTATTCGTTTCCTCTTCGTAGTCATAATCCATACTTCTTTTGGTTCTTATGGTGTTTTTGCCATATTTGTCTCTCGATGTGTAGTAAAGCATCAATACTGGGTATTCATGATCCAACTTACCCTTCAAAGGTTGTATAGATAGTCTAAAATGCTTCCCAACATGTGGTACATACGTTGACACCTTTATAAGAACCCTAAAAACCTTTGATCGATCTACAATCTCAACCAAAGGTTTTGTAAGGTCGAAATTTATCCAGGTATTATTACAGTGATTTATATCCACCTCTTGGTAATGCAAAAAATCACCCATGGTATCATTGTAAATGGATAAAATGAGATTTCTTCTCACATAAGTAAAATTGGTGTTCACAATGGTAAGAATCTTTAAATCGGCACCAAAGAATGTCTCGTCGGGGTCTTGAGAGGGTAAATCAAACTCCAAGATGTGTTTATCCGGGATTTCATTGTTATCTACGGTAAAATCTGGTGGGATGTTATGTAACAGAATTATTTGATGATAATAGATTACCTGTTTCCTTGGGTATTAGACTTCTCACTACATCAGGCGATGATATGTTATCCTTGCTGTTTCTATACAACTCCAACATAAACTTGGGCACATGATAGTTTTTGGACACTTTTTTGGTGTAATTTTTTTCACCATCAAGAAAAATTTGTCGCTTTAAAGTAACAAAAACATACAACCACACTATAAAAATCACAAGTAAAACAACAATAATATTATAGACGTTCATGATGGTGTCTAAAACCGTCTAAGAGTTGATGCTACTTGAAACCCATTTTATATTATCTTACTACTAAGTGTTTTTGTTAAAAATAACCAAAGGTGTTTTACTATAAATAATTTACTTGCATTGAAAAATACACTACAAATTGTTTTCAGTATTTTGATGGACATGTTGATGAAGAAGAAAGTTATCCTATATAAGGTAAAGGAAAACATAAAATGTCATTAAGTCTATAAAAAGCGAGGAAAGCCATAAGATGTGTTGTCAATAGGGTCAAATTAGCACCATAGAGTGTGAAAATATAGAGGAAGCCCTTGAGAAACTCATATTCTTGGATTCGATAGTTTATACTCAAGAATCATTATTAAATGATAGAGAAATGGATGGTCAAGATGCTACATGTTTCAACTTGGTGAACGAATTCAGGGACAACTTGAAGAGCAAAGCCATAGTAACGTTAAAATCTGCTAGAAGCTTTATAAAACTGATCAATATAGGTAGAACATTCAACAAAAAAGATATACAAAAAGTCTTGACATCAAAAAAGAATAAAGACCTATTGTAAGTATTGCAATCACAAAAAACTCTTTCAGCAACTTTTTTTTAGATTACAACTGCACGATATTCTGGGCTTCATCCAAAGTCAGGATTCGCACGAGGCAGTAATAAAAAACCTTATTTTTGACGATGAAAAAATGTTAGGCTTCAGCCAAAGATATCTATGGGATCTATCAATTTGTTTCAAACCAAATCCTGATATTATTATGGACCTTTTAAAAAGATTCCAGAAGAATAACAACATACCTGAAAAAGTTAAGGAGACGATGATTTTAAGCATAGCATCAATAGCGTATAGGTTGAGTCAACTCAATGGATATAAAGTTAAAGTTTTGAAAGATGTGGAGGAAGCCATAATAAATAATCTCGACTATGCCAAAGGCGAGGAAAAATACCAATTCTTCAGAGCCTTGAAGATTCTCAAGTCACCCAACACGATCCCAAAACTTCTTGATGTCATCGAAAAAGGCACTCCAAAGGAAGGTGTATTGAGCTGGAAAATCATAAAATCTCTACCGAAAGAGTATTGGGGTGAAAACGTGTTAAAAGCAGCAAAGAAGACGTTCTTCCAGCTCAACAAAAGGCACGATTCCAGCTCCAGAACCATAGCAGCCGAACTGATGTTGGAAACAAACATTACAGAACAAAATCTAAAAGATATGTTCCACTATTTAGGATCAAACGATACTTCTTTTGAAATTAAACAATACGTGTACCAAAACATTAGAATGAAGGCTGACGAGTGTCAATTATTTAGAAGAATGGTTTTAAACATCATAAGTAGTGATCCTTTTTTGAATAATTATTCCACGCTAGCACCAAGAGGAATGTCCACTGCTTTATCCAGGAATTTCCTGAGCAGCGACAGTAGTAATGGTAGCTTAGTATCTCTGCAAGAGTTGAAGAGTGGTATAGTCAAAAGAGGATCAGTGAATATAGTGATGAAGAAAAATGACGCTATCAAGGAGATATTTAGTGTAAGGGTACACTCGAGGTTATTTGAGTTTGTAATAAAATTATTTTTAGCTTGGTTTGTTCTCCGGTGGACTATCAAGCTTCATGTCAAGTAATGGGAATGAAAACGATCTTGAAGATGAGGAATCAGCGAATGCTGGGATGGAGTTGTCAGTGTTGGGAACACAGCTGAGACCTTTCTTGTTTTTCAGTGGTCAAGGTGAGATTATGGGACATGTGTGGTCTGGGACAGCTTCTGAGAAAACACCGGCGTATCAAGTAAGCAAATAAAACATATTACGTGAACCCAAGTTCATCTGGAGTACATCAGGTTAGGCAATGGTCTTAAGTGGTAAATCAGACTCCAAGATGTTTATCCAATATGTCCTTTAGGATTTCATTGATATCTGGTGGGATGGTATGTTAACATAGGTATAATTTTAAGATAATAACTATTTGGGGTGATTTTTTCATTTTGGACAACACTATAAATAATTTATTTGCATTAAAAACGTACACTACAAATTGTTTTCGGTAGTTTCAAGTTCGTCTCTTTCTTGCGGTTCTGGGTTTTCTTTAATGGGCGGCGAATTTTCCTTTTCTATCCTCCTCGACGGTTTCCTCCGTTTGTGTCTTCGTGGTTTTTCTTCGTCTGACGATGAGTAGCTCCTGTGTCTCCTCCTCCTTTTGTGCCTGTTGTATCTTCTGGGCGCCTGCTTTGCCTGGGCGAAATAGGGCGCCTTCTGTTTTTCCGTCATATTCCGCCACATCTCAGCCCCTTGCTTGGTCAAATCGATGATATTCATACCTCCATGATTTCTGCGAAAGTCCCTCATAAAATTCAAGTAAGGATTCTTAGTTATCCTGCCGGATTTCATCTGCTTGCTCGGAGGCTTCTTATTCCCCATTTTTAATAACACATCGAAATTTACGCGACAAAAAGGTACATTTTAAGGAAAATGTCATTTAATAAATGTCAAGTGTCAATAAACGAAGATTTCACATGGATTTCAAAGGTAAATTATATTTTAAATTTTAAAATCTCGAACAGCCGGCACATTTTAAATTTTGCGAGCGAGCCGATCGATCGCAACCGTGACGTCATCGAGACCAGGTAAAAATAAGGTCGTCTGGTAATTTCACGTATACCTACGTCGATTTTTCACTAGGTATTTAAAACGTTCAAAGTAATTTGTTGAAAGTTTCATGGCTTCTATCGATCGCCAATGAATTATTAATGCTAAATTTAATCAATGTTGTATAGAGGGAACAATATTAAATGTTTATTATTGTTAATAATTAATGCTTTTATTACTAAATTAGTACTTATAATTCGAATGTTGAAAAATCAATATAACTATGACTGAGTTGCATAGTGGGGTCGTACCGTTCCAAGCCGCCCTTGACTGGAGGGGTTGATTTCGCAGTTAGTCGTAAGATGCCATAAGGGTTGGTTATTTTTAGCGGTCTGTGAAAACTATAGGGAATATAGGTGCAATCATTCTGTGATTTTAGTCAATAATTGTAAATCGACATTTCGTTCTATTAATTTTGCAATTTAAGTGTCAGTGTTTCATCCTTTATTGTAGCGTTATAGGATTTTTACCGCAATACGTTTTTAACATGTTCGAATCTATATGGAACTACACTATCGGCAAAATGGATCTAAATAACTTAAGTGAGTATTTTTAACAACAAATTAACAATAGTTTGCGATTTATATAACTACACTGAAGAAAAAAATAAGTGATTACCTAATCCAAACGTATCTTTGGTCAAATTTGCAAAATTAAGTCATTTGACAAATAAATAAATTAAACTATATCTAAAAATGTTATAATTTATATCTGCTGCCGGGTTGAAGTTGGTAATTTTTCGTCGTTAAGATGCGGACATGTCCTATAATGTTGGCAAAACTCAACATTTTTAGAAACTCAAAAAATATGGTTATGTGTTTTTAATTTAGCTTAAGTCCACATTCTTAAAATAATTTTCTTCAGTAGGACGTATTTTGGTTCACTTTGCGCACCACCCAGTTACCGCCATCTTGATTCATTCCCGCCCTTGAATTTAAAAGATATTTTAAATTTAAATATAAAATTCATCCAAATTTCTATAAAATTATGAATTAAATAAAATATATTGTTTTAAAGTAAATAATTTTTACTAAATACCAAATAAAATATATGAAAAAAGTACTAAGAAAAATTTAATTTAAGTTTTTAATATCCTTTTTCAAAGCAAATATGTATAAAGAATGAAATGAAAAGTGTCAGTTACAGCATTATCATTGCAAGAAAAATGTAAACAACATTTTAAATTTATTTATTACAAAATTGTATTTACAAATAATTGCAATTTTGGTTTAGTTGCCAAATAAAAACCCTAAATTGGCCACCATGGAGCCAACATTAAATAAAACAAACTAAACTTGTGAAAAATATATTATGTTTCAATCCCGGGCCATTTCATTATCAGCAGCATGCTGCATTAGCTTCCTTGTCTTGGCACATTTCCTGCACAAAGCAAAAATTAAGATTTAATTTTTATTAATTTTGTCTTTTAAATTGTATGTTATCTTACACTGCAGTACTTGATTTCTTAGAGGTTGAGTTTCTGTCTTCAAAGATCATATTATGCTTCCTGATTTTGTCCTATTTCCTGTACTCTATAAAAAGAACTATAATTTATAATGTTATTTTTTTTTGTGTTTTATTTTTATTTTTTACAAAGTACTTGATTTCTCTTTTGATAAATCAGCTGTTACCGTATCCACTTTTAAATTAAAGACTTTTTTTGTGAATGTTGTTTGTATATTTTTTCGGTTCAATTTTCCTTCTTATATCAACTATCTTCGAAGTAAATGGAACAAATACAAGCTACAAAACAAACAAAAATATTAACCTAAAACAACCTAAATTATTTTTTTATACATATATCTATCACAGACAATCTATGTATACAAAAGGAAGGTACCTCTGTTATTTAATTGTTTTTAAAATAAATCTACTTACTATCCTTAAAATCAATTTTTTCAAGCCAATACTAAGTTTTTTTCTGTTAGCATTGTTTTACAGATTTTTACTAGGCATGTAGACATTATTTACACTTTGTAAACTTTGAAATAGCTTAAAAAACAACTCACATCAAAATGTAAAAAATCAATATGGCGGCGACTGGGTGCTTCCACCTCTTCGCTAATCTGATGGAGTGGTGGAAACAGATGCCCAAGAACATACCTTGTTTTATTGTATGATGATACCTATATGGTCATAACAGTAATATATTCTTCAACGAAATCGGACCCTATATAATTTTTTTTGTAAAACTTGAATAGTAACCCCAAACAAGCACGTATTTTAAATGCAAAAATATTGTATACTTTATTTTCTAAAATTTTACTAAATGTAACGGGTGCGACATTTGAACTTTTTATCGAGTATTAAAATCTTTAGTGTTTATTCTTAAAGTTAGCTTTTTGGCATTACAAAAATTACAAATATTTTAAGGTTATAAAGTACGTCGTATTTAAACTATTTGACTTCAGATATAGTTTTTGTTTTGTTATTAACACATCTGATTTTTTGTCAAGGTGGGCCCCACCTGGTGGGGTAAGGTTTCGCGGAAATACCCTATCGCATCCTATGGCAATATTGCGGTACCTTTTTAAGCAAATCAGGTAGATAGACCTTATTAACAACCCTCAGGTACTTTTTAAAGTGAAACTTCTGTACGCACAATGGGGCAAAATCATTTCATGCGACTTGCAATTGCAAGTCGCATGATTACATCAAAGTTTCGTTACTTAAGTAACGAAACTTTGATGTAATCCCCTCTACTGCCACGTAGCTGTGACCTCGCTTTGATGCAGGCAATTAGACCACGTTGCATTCAGCATTATAACTATTATGTGAATAAATAATTCAATATCTTGTTTTCTGGTCAATCCATAACAAATCAGAAATTCAAACAAAATTGGATAATTAAGGAGGTTCTGGCAGTACATTGCAGGGAAAGGGGTAAGGGGAATTGCTTTTCTATTCGCTTTTGACAGTTGCAGTGACATTTCTTTATGCAGTGTTATTTAAAATCTTAAAATGAGCTGAAAAACGAGTATTGTACGATTACACGTTCCAAAAATTTGGACAGTTAGTCAACATTGTTAAAAATAATAACAACCAAAAATTATTACTTCCGTTTATTGTGTTTATATAATAATTTCCATAAATTTCAACTAAATAAAATTAACAATTAATGCAAATTTAGATATTAATGACTGGCAAAAAAATAAACATGATGCATATGTATGCATATCATGAACATTGCTTTTACCATAAAAAATAGTATATAATTACCATGTTATTTGTTATTATTATGGTATTACAGGGTATTTTAAAAACGTATCATAATACGAAAAATATTTATTTAGGAATTTTTTAATTTATTTTTAATTTTTTTAATCAAAAATAGGTTTACAAAATTAAAAAATTGATATTTCATTATTTTTTTGCTATGTATTTAAATAAAAAATATGAAACAAATTCATTGAAAAATTCGGTGGATTTTGTTTTTTAATGACGCACATTTTGATGTACAATTTTCATATTTTCCGCCATTTTTGTAGAATCTCTGACCTAATCTGTCATTTTTTTAAATTGTACCCCCCCTCTTTTGGAGATTTAAATAGATTATGAAATTGTGATTTAACACACAGTTAAAAAATTATAAAATTTGTTTTAAAAAATGCGTGTTAAAAAAAATTACATAAACTTCCTAGTGTTTATAACATAAATGATATACATACATGTATTTTACTTGATTATAATAATTAAAATCTAAAAATTTCAAAAGATTTAACTAACATTAATGTGTTAAAAGGTCCTACACAAATAAGAATGTTAAATAATAATTTTTATCTCCACGCGGTCTATAATTTAAACTTGTTTTCAACATTCTATAAAGAAATACCTTGTTATGGCCTAGGCCGATAAAAATTTTTATGAGGCAAGTAATTAGTTCGATTTTTTCTCGCTAGCTTGTTTTGACAAATTAATCCTTTTCTAAAAAATTAACGTACTAAACTGGTTTAATTTATTTATAATAAGCACTAATTTGTTTGTTTTACTGTTAATGTTAAATATTTTTTATTAAATTATTGTAAAATTAAATATGAATAATAAAACAAAAGAAGAAAACGCACGATTATTTTTCTACGATTTAAATTATTAATTAAAGTTTTAATTTGCTTTAAGTTTTCAGTGAAATTAAATGGTAAATACAGCTTAAACATTACAAACTACCTATTTTTTAAATAAAAATCCAAACAAATTGAAATTAGATACCTACCTATTTATTACACAATTAATTGAATTCAATGTAAAAGCAAAAATCCATTTTTACTTAAATCATGTAGCTAGGTATTGTCAAACTATTACTGCTTCTAAAAGCAATTATAATTATTGAACATTTAATGCAATCTTTAGCTAATAAATAAATGAGATTCTAAAAAAGTGAGGTTAGGTCGCTTTGATGTTGAATTAAATTGACCTATATAAAGTGCCATTCGGCCAAGAAGTGCCTTTTTGTGCTTCGCTCAAACCTTGAGCTTAGCACAAAAAGCCTTATTTCTTACACACAACGAAAAACGTACGTAATATTAATAAAAAAAAACATTAACGCAATGATTTTTTACATTAATTTTGCTCCGATGCTCAAAATCATTACCACAATGCTTTTAAAGTATTACTCAATGTACAAGGACGTAATATTAATGCTTGGCGGACATTGATTTTAATCAGGAAGATCTCAAATAAAAGTACTAATATTAATGACCATTGACATGGATTAATGTCCTAGTACATTAATTCTATGCCCAGTAAACATCAACCAATTAATAAATTTTTAATCAATTAACAATTAAAGAACATTATCCCAATCACCTAATATACATTAATTAATGATCTGTTAGCATTATCATAATGCAAAGAAGCATTAATAGTAG